CCAAAGATACCTTCTTTGCCCACCCTGGCGTTAAAGTCGCCAAGCACGATTTTGACATCGTGGCGGGGGCAGCTCTCATAAGTGGGCTCCAAGCGCTCATAAAAGGCATATTTGGTCACATCGTCCTTCTCTTCCAAACATATGTAAATATCAAATATAATCTTTAAAACCAAAGGCATTTCCAGGGTTTACAGCATGTATTCTGCACAATCCGTAACTATACCAGCAGTACGCTGAGATATATGCAGCAGCATATACATACGCAGTACTAGGCAAAATATTCGTAAAGGGGCCCAGGATGTTTAAAGAGTTAAGCATTCAATACTCTAACCTTGAAAAACTGGCGCACTCTAATAAGACAGATTAGTTCACCACAGCTGAGAACACCACAACACAACTCACCATGCCTATATACCAACAAACTTATCAAAAAGGACGGAAAACGAGAAAGCAGATACATTTTTGTTACACATCTTAAAAACATTCGCTTTCAACATTCGTCTTATGCTTTCGAATAGAAAGGTTGACCGCTCGGTTCCTGTTCGCTGACCTTCTTTTTTTAAATATTCCTTTTCCGCAACAACAACTCGACCACRATCTGCATAAACTCGAACGCCAATGCCGGCAAATTGGAATTGGATTCTCGCCGTCCTACTCGTCGACATTCAATTTTAATTAACTTCATCCTTTATTATTTTTTTTATTAATTGATTWAATGATATTGTGAAAAAGCCAACATAGTTGGCTTTTATTTTAATTATTGCAGTACCGTGTGCTAGTTTTAGTCATCAGTAATTCCAAGTGGAACGCCTGCAGATGATTTGAATGCTTGCCTGAAGGCATCACCTTTAGGGAATAACGTAAAAACATTATCGCTAACCAAGGATATGAGAGTTCAACTTCAAAATGATCAAAGTGCTGCACAATTTTCCAAACAATTGTTAACTATTGGAAAAGTCCCAGTTAATGCGACATCTGGATTAATTACTCTAACCAACGACTTTTGTCGATTTGTGGACTCTCAATTAGCTCTTATTGAAAATGTTTTCCCAAACATTAGTGAGAATTATCAGAATTAGGCTTGTTAAACTGAATTTCACCATTCAATCAAAAATTCCTGGCGATTTGGTGACATACAAATCCGTTGATTCCATAACAAATCCCTATGATGTAGTAAATTATCCAACGGAGTTTTTGAATTCTCTGGACTTACCAGGATTTCCACCACATCACTTGCAACTCAAAGTTGGTACAATTATTATGATATTGCGTAATTTGAATCCATCGCTACTTTGCAACACTACTCGACTTTCGGTAAAAAGCTTATGCCGAATTTGATTGAGGCAACCATTATTAATGGAAAGTACGCAAGTGAAAATGTGTGTATTCCTCGAATACCAATGATTTCGACTGATCTTCCGTTTGACTTCAATTGCAATTTCCAGTTCACCTTGCGTTCGCAATGACAATTAACAAGTCGCAATTCATTGTTTTTTATACTATCGCAACAAAGTTGCTAAAGAGAGTATATATATTTTGTTCACATAACGGTTGTTTTGTAAGTCCTAAAACTAAAAGAGTTAGATATAGGGTTATATATACCAAAGTGATCAGGGTGACGAGTAGAGTTGAAATCCGGATGTCTGTCTGTCCGTCCGTCCGTCCGTGCAAGCTGTAACTTGAATAAAAATTGAGATATCATGATGAAACTTGGTACACGTATTTCTTGGTGATCAAAATCGGAAACTTCCACGCCCACAAAAGGGCGAAAACCGAAAACCTATAAAGTGTCATAACTAAGCCATAAATAAAGATATTGAAATTTGAATGTGAAAATTTGATAAGTGAAATTTGGCACGAAGGATCGCATTAGGTAGTGGCATATTGTGACGTAATTTTTTTGGAAAAGTGGGCGTGGACCCGCTCCCTACTAACTTTTTTGTACATATCTCGGAAACTACTATAGCTATGTCTACCAAACTCTATAGAGTTGTTTCATTCAGGCATTTCCATATACAGTTACGTCAGAAACACTAAATTTTACGGAAGAAATCTCAGAAGGAAGCTGCATTCAAGGTTTTTTTCAAAAATTGAAAACGGGCGTGGCGTCGCCCGCTTATGGACCAAAAACCATATCTCAGGAACTACTCGACCGATTTCAATGAAATTCTCTACATAATATTTGCTTAGCACCCTGATGACATGTACGAAATATGGATTAAATCGGTTCACAACCGCGCCTTCTTCCAATATAACTCTATTTTGAATTCCATCTAATGCCTTCTCTGTATAATATATCCATTAGCAACCAATGATGATAGCGGAATAAAACTTTACACAAATACGGTATTTGATGCAAGAGTATAAAATGTTCGGTGACACTCGAAGCCGTTCCTTACTTGATACATTTGCAGCTACACGTTGCGTGTTCACGAGTTGTGTAACACTTCAATTCAGTATTTACTTTGGATTCATTTTCATTTACTTWGAGAAGTTCAACTAAATAACACTTAATTTTTGTAATCGAACTGAATTCATTACTGTTGTGAAATAAAATATATTCTTTCCTTTTCGAATATAAAACAAACGAAATGTTACATAAAACGAAGCCGTAAATTTAAAATTATTTTGTATTATCGACAACAGACTTGCACAAATAGCAATACCGAATGTTGGAAATGCAATGTAAAATTACAAGCTTCGAGTGWAGCATTCATAGCGGTACTTCTCCAAATGCTTCCGTTGCATTTTATCGCTAAAATTTTTAATTTAAACGGCATGACTTTGAGTTGTGTGAATAATTTTGTGCCTCACATAAATGAAGTAATATGCAATTTTTGTAGATTTATTTAAAATGGAAAGTTAATTTGTAAAATTATTGTTTTTTTTTAAATACCAGAGATTTGAATAAAGATTTCCTTAGAACAAAACTATAACCTAGTTTTTGTGGTGAGTGAATAATTATGTCCGCTAGTGTATATAAAAATAAGTTGGGTTTTTGYCTGTTCGCTATAGCTGACTAAGCCGTTGCATAAAATGAAAATGGCCTGAACCACTTTGAAAAGAATTCATTGAGGATGGTTGTTAAAAACAAAAGATCGGAAATCTTAATCGATAAATTTAAAAAAAAAAATACTGCTTAATTATAACAGCGAATGTTCAATTTAGACAGAAAATATTATTTAACATTTAGCTGCAACACACTGATAAGGCCGAGTAAATTCTGAAAGATTCGAGCAAAATGTAAAATACCAAGTAAACCATGTCTTTCTGATTACATTGTTGCTTTAGACAATAGCCTGTGCCAATTTTGAGAAAATACATTGTGAAATGTGAAAGTTTTCCATACAAGAATTTGATTCCGATCGTTCAGTTTTTATGGCAGCTATATGTTATAGTTTTCCGATAGCGGCAGTTCCGACAAAGGAGCAGTTTCTTGTAGAGAAAAAGACGTTTGAAAATTTCAAAACGATATCTTAAAAACTGAGGAGCTAGTTCATAAATATACAGACAGACAGACGGACAATGATAAATCGACTCAGCTCGATATACTGATCATTTACACAGCGTGGGCCAAAAGAAACCAAGGGGTGTAACTTAAAAGTGCCATTGTGTCTCGGGCAGTATGGGCAGTAGCTCCGTCCTGCTGAACCCACATACCAGGTCTGTTTTCAAGAGCAGGACGTAAAMAATTTTCTATCATAAACCAATAGCGCTCTCCATTTACGGTTACAGCACTTCCATCTTCATTCTCGAAGAAGTAAGGCCCAATGGCATTATCAGATATGATCCCACACTATACTGTACACCTGATGGGGTGTAATTGGCGTTGATGAATGGCTCTTGGATTTTGAGAACCCCAGAACCCACAGTTCTGCTTATTAACAAAGCCATTCAAATGAAAAAGAGCTTCATCACTCATAATCACGATATTCTCTTTGTGTTAAAATAATTGATCTCTGGTTTAAATAATAAAATTCTATTGTTCTGGTTCTCTGTTCAGTTGTGTACCTCTCCGTTATAAATTCTCCAAGTGTTGTCTATATAATCTGAAAGAAAAAATAAAAAAAAAATTAATAAACGAGAAAGTTATTAAACTTTTACACCCCTTGGTTCCTTTTGCCCCACCCTGTATATATGCTTTCCTTCTGGGTGTTACAAACTTCGTGACAAACTTAATATACCCTTTTCAGGGTATAATAACATGATAGCCTAATACGACTCATGCGGTGTCAGACACAAAAAGACTATTGAAAAAAGTACATCTACTTGGATCACCTGTTATTTTTGAGGGCTTTGACGATAGCACAGTTTCGTTTGGTAAAAGTTAACCAAGCCTTCAAAACAGTAAACTGCATAGGTTGGATTGTATTTGTAAATGACAATTTTTAAACATTTTCCGAATTCCCGTACATCCATTTGTAATGCCACACTTAGGGCGAATCTGTCCAATATTGACCTAATTCCTTAACTCTTTAAGTAAATCGAAAATTTCCCAGAAAATATATATTTTATTTATATATAACTATTTATCTACCTCGATTTGTTATCGTCTTTATATAACATTATTTTTGTGAATTAAACTACTATTCTCTGTAGCAATATGTTGCAAGGGTAKAAAAATGTTAATCTGCTGATTTGGTTTAAATTGGTGCTTTAGTTGCTGAGAAATTGTTCAGTCTAAAATATTTTATCTGTATGTTGTGTTCTTACAAATAATTTTACTGAAAAAGTACACATCATAAGTAATGGATAAGCTTTAACATATCGTCACCTGAAATGCAAAATAATGTAACAACATTTTCGGAAATTTACAGTGGTATGAATGAAACACGAAATAAAATGGAACATCAGTGAAACAAAATTTTAATATTGGTTAAAACTGGTTTATATCTGACCGCAGAACATGTAAATGTTGAACATAGGTAATATTATGTATGTAATGTGAAGTAGCGAAGCGTAATCAATAAGACACTCAATTTCGAATTTTTTGATGATACGTTATTTTGCATTTCAGGTGACGATATGTAGTTTTTTCTTTGTTATTATCCGATTTTACTTATTTTTCAACGATATCATAAAATGTTATACCGAACACTTCAATACTATTTTTTTAAATGATCATATGCTTAAAGTTTAAACTCAATCTCGGCAATTTCTTTCCAGCGACCAATCTCTTCAGACCTGGTCCATTAAGGTTTTCTACCGTTGCAGTCTCTTCTGGTCTTCTTGAAAGAGGTTCCTTATTAAATAGTAATAGTCTTGGTTTTTAATTAGTTGTTAGTTATAGCAGTTTACATCTATAAAACTGATTATCAATTGCATTTCCGAATAAACATATAATTACGTAATACAATATGTAGTTATAAAATGGTGTGCGATTACTTACAAAAATTATATGTCACAAAAAAATTTCATATATCTTGTAAAATATTATGTACATTTAAATCCAAAACTTTTTTTGCAACACTTACATATGAACTAAAAAAATTTTAAACAATATAAATAAGCAATAGTTAATCTAAGACTTTTTAATGTTTATGTACCTGCAGGATCATAGTTAAAACGCGGTAAGCATACTGGTTTTATAATTTTCGAAAACGCCATTGGTTTCCTCAATTTTATCAACGCTATATCGTTGTTATAACTGTCGGGGTTGAAATTTCTATGTTTAATTATAGCACTTACGGCCCTCTGAATGGCTTTAGATTCAGATGTAATATGCTGATCGTGGTCTCCAAAAATTATCCGTATTTTTGATTTCCTTAGTTTTTTAACACAATGGGCTGCTGTTAACACATACTCCTTTGTAAGCAGAGATCCTCCGCAATGAAATTTGCCATCGTATACTATACGAGCCATCCAAGGGTATTGATTAATGCCTGTTGGTCTACCACCAACTATTCTTATTTCTTCATTAGAATATCCACAATCTAAAATTATTTAAATGAAATTTGTTATAAAAATATATGTTAACAATTGCAAAGAACATKTAAAGAAATAATGTGTTCGGACGCGACCGACCATTGGGGCTCTCGCACCGTTCATAGAACGATGAACTTTTGGTGCTCTCATATTTAAAAAAATAGAATAAAATTTTATTGAAACGAAAAATAAATTATAGCTTACATTTAATTAAATTGCGACTAGTAAAACCAACTATACTATACTAATAAGAAATTTTTTTCAAAATTGGTAAGGTAAAACTACAAGAGCATTTAGAAAGTTTGGTTTCTGAAACTAAACAATACAATATTTATTGTTTTAGGGTTCGATTATATGTTCAAAACTTCTTTCGTGTTCCCGGCTTTTTTAAGAGGGAAGATTTTGCATTAAATAGGCTCCGAAACTACATGACCGATTTGAAAAATTCTTTCACTGTTGGGAAGCTACACTATCTGTGTTGAATATATATAGTACATATATGATATTATATTAAATTTAAAAAAAAGTTATTGATCCGTACTAAAACTCCACTTATATAACTCAAGGTGTAAAAAAATTACTAAAAGCTTTTTTTAATCGCGTGCGCTGCGAAAACTATTGGTTATCCACTATACAAAAATACGTCGGGTTTTTTTCCTGACGCTATAACTCCAGAACGCACGAACCGATTTCCACGCTTTTGCATTCCTTGGAATGGTCTCGGGCTCCTTGAGATTTATAGCAAAGAAAATTCAGGAAAAATTTCAACAGAAAAGCGGGAAAATATTTTTTTATATACAGCGCCATCTCTTGTACTACAAACAAATATTTTAAGTAGATGGCGCCGGTGCGTGATACATAGTTTGACAGCTACTCATTGCTCTCTGCTCTGCATGTGACATATCGGTATTGTGTTCACTGGGAATTGTGAAAAAATAAGAAATAAGTTATTCGTTTCCTAACATTTCAATTGGAAACCATCAAATTATTCGCGGGTATTGTGCAAACTTTTATTAAATTTTAACAGCAGGCATTTGTCTTTAAGTCTTTAAGTAACTTGAACTGTGTAAATCGTGTGGATCGTGCATTTGAAGTTAAATTCACCACTCTGTCCATAGTCCAAAATGCCTAACAAGACATGCAAGCCAGCAACAAGTGTATTCACAGAACTTAAGCGAAGAAAGACAAAATATAATAAGAGAAAATGCCCGATTGAGACAACGCGTGAGGACACGAAGATCATTGGCATCATACAATCGCTTGGCATTCCAATCTGATCAAGCTGCGAACTACAGTGATGATGAAAATTTAGATATTGGACCAATGACGACTATATGCCGACATTGCAATGCTTTAAAGTTTAAAAGAGAAACGGCTAGATTGTGCTGCGCAAGTGGAAAAGTCAAACTGGATCCATTACTTACACCACCACAGCTACTGAAACCATTGTTGTATGGAAATGATTCCGATTCCAGCTATTTTCTTTAACACATCCTTGAATACAATAACTGCTTTCGCATCACTTCCTTTAGAGTTAATATCATTCGAGAAGGCACTTCATGCCGATTTGCAAGGTAAAAGATACAACACACATAACCAATCACTCACACCAACACAATGAATTGCAACACATAACAACTACATATACACCATACACTACACCATCACATGATCAAAATTTACACCGTATTCTTCAACAAATGGTCAAAGATAAAGAGATGTCCAACTTCTCTCTCACTGGAAGTGAGAGCAATTGCTAAACTTCAAAACCTACTGAACTTTGACAGCTAATCGAGTTCAGTAGGGTTTGATGTTTACCAATTGGAAAAGAGGGACGACCAGATTAAAATTCCGTCAATTATTATTCGAATGGAGACATTTTGAATTTTTTTGGCTCCATTTGTAACGGCCATTAGTTCGAAGAATGCCGAATGTGAAACAGCACGCAGATTGAAAGATGTAACTATATTTTAACTTTTATTAAATAAATTTGCATTTATTTAATACTTTTTTATTTTATTTTACAGACAAAATGCCGAAAACAACCAGCAGTTGGAAGAAATGTGTTGCTGGCTGCAGCGAGGAGGGCAGAAGATTCAGTTTTGCAAACAGTGGAACGGATCTCAAAGGTGAGTAAAATACGTTAAATGGTTCAAAAAGTGTTTGTGACTTTGGGAAAATTTTCGATGAAATAAATGTTTCGATTGTGCAAGTAAAAAAGTAATTTTGGATAATGGAATTGAAATTCCGGGTATTTTTAAGTGTGATGTGCTGAACATGTAGATCGCGACAGCCTGCTAGCGACATATGTCAAAAATTAAAATACACACGTTCTAATGGACACAGTTATATAGTCGTGCAACTGCCTCAATAACTGTCCTTAAGAAAGTGTGTATTTTAATATTTGACAAATGTCGCTTGCAGTCTGTTGCGATCTACGTGTTCAAAGCGTAACTGTCAATTTGTTAACATTGCCGTTAAGTAATTAAATAAAAAATTTTAAAGTAACGATTTATCATTGAATATTCATGATAGTTAGAAAAAAGAAGTCGTACTTTTAAATATTCATTAAATATGCCCTTTTTGCACTATTATTATTATTATTATACATATTTTATGACTATAACATTTTATATTTTATTTTGTTTCTTTTAATAGGCGTAAATGTTGGCTGAAACGTTTAGGCGTGTGACCGGCATTTGCGTGTGAGCGGCATTTAGAAAAAAAAATTGAGGGAAGAGAATAGGATTTTAAAAATAAAGTTAGATGAAAAAAAACTGGAGAATAGGAGTTTAAAAACTCAGTTGGTCCAAATGGTAACTGAATTAGAAAGATGTAGGGACATGTTAAGAAGTTGTTCATTTAGGGAAAAGTCAGATCCTTTTGAGATAGTTTGCAGCAAAGCTCCTCCTCAGTTAGGTGTTTCTATTAAGAGTAGTTTTTTAAATACTAAGCACCAAAATCACTGTCGGTGATATGATGGTTTTTTTTTTAACTTTAGCTTTGGGTGTATTTTTTTTTTGTCGCCAATCGCTTACCGCTACCTAAAGCACCAACATGGTTTGCCCTCGGAAGATACGTTACATTATTTTGTCGCAGATTGGCACCGTTTCCATGGTTGGCAGCATAAAGTCTTTACAAATTAGGAGTAAGGGATTTTCTTTCCAAAAAAACAAAGTTCCTATCAGTTTCTTGTGATGAAATGTCACTGAAATGTGATTCGCCGTATGATAGGAAATTTGATAGGTCTTGAAGATTATGGCGATGAAAATCGCACATCTAGAAGTGCCACAACTGCAATGACCATTATGTTGCAAGGTATAGGTGGGGAACCTTGGTCCTTCCCGGTAGCTTATTTTTTTGTTAGAAGCTCTTGTAAAGGGGATGTCCTCAAGAAATACATTCTGGAAGCCATTACCCAACTTCAAAATATAGGGCCATTTTGTTTGTGACCAGGGTACCAATTTTCAAAATTTAGCTATTTTGTTAGGTCACGGCCTTTTTTCAAAGATAATGGTAAGGAAATATATTTTTTTACGATAGCTAACCTTTATTAAAATGTGGTCGAAACTGTTTACAAAATATGAAAAAAAAGTTAATTTGATAAATAGTCGCGTATGTTGGTCAAATACAGTCCATTTTTWAAAACAGGACTCTAAGTCGAGTTATCGGTGTGCGCATATATTAACCGATGCTCATATTTACCCCAACACCTTTCAAAAAGTGAAAGTTAAATTCGCGTCTCAATACGGTCCCTTCAGGTATGCTTTCTCTTTACAGCTCGGGAGCCTTAAGCACAAATAGTATGAGCTTTATTAATACCGCGGATTTCGTTTCTTTTTTCAATAAATTATTCGATATTCTTATAGTGGTTTCACAGAGGCCATTGTACCCACTACAAAAGTTTTTATAAGTTCCTCAGAGCAAAACCTCTTTTTAGATGAGGCAGAAAAAGTTTTAAAAACAATTCGGGTCGTAGATGAGTTAGGAAACAACACAACACATAATTTAAATTTTATCAAGGGGTGGTTAATTAATATTAATAGCTTAAGACGATTGTGGCGATTGCTGTCACACTCAGGATTTCCTTACCTAAAGACAAGACGACTATGTCAGGACAGCTTAAAGCATTTTTTTGATCAGACTAGAAGTAGGGAATGTACTAGAGTTACACTTTTCATGTTCTCTAGTTTTATTAGGAAGTCGTGGAATTTACGTTACACAAATATCGTAACAAAAGGTAACTGTCAGCTGCATTTAGAACTCGAAGCCACAGTTATTTCAGAACACAACCATATTATTATTCTTAATGTGTGCAATGATTCCGTTTTAAGTGACCTTTCTTGGCAGGATTTCCAGGGTTTACCACGGTCCGAACATTCCCTGGTTAGGTCCATTACTTTAGATAGTAGTATAGAAATTAACTTTTTGAAGGAAAATTATTTGAATAATTTTTGCGGCTACCTTTGTTTGAAAATTTTTAAAATGACACATGCTGTCTGCCATTACCTTATTTAGGAGATGAAATTCCTTCAGATGATCACATCCTCATACACCTGAAGAATTTGTTGCATTTATTAATAATTTTGATATAAAAGTTGTTGAGAAATTTGACAGAAATTGTCATAAAATAGGTGTAGGAGAAATCCATTTTACTAAATTAAAATATATTAGGCCCTTCTTGTGTTGTGAAGACTGTGACCCAAAGGTAGTTACTGCTTTATTTATTAGAATTAGAATTTATTTTGTGACAAAATTTTTAAATAGAGATTTATCTCTACCCAATTTTAAGAACTTTTAAAGTATTTATCTTCTTATCTAGTGGTTGCAATGAGCAAAATATTTAATACTAAAATAGGGGTTTTAAAGCAGATTCGCATTAAGAGGCTCTAAAGTTATGATAAAGATTATAAAGTTTTTAATTAAAAATTAGAATTTGGGGCATAAATATTGGCATTTGTATATACAAGTATTATTAATATTCTGTGATATGGAGTGATATTGTTTT